TTGTTTGAAAACTTCATTTTAACTCTTGTATCAGTCCTCAAGAGTGTCATGAAGTGTTTGTTTGAAAACTTTTTGAAAGTGTAGGTGCGAAAAGTTATTTTTTGTTTTTTGAAAGAGCAAGTACCCAGGAGAAATCTACCTACTCTAAGGAATTAAGTTGTGTAAATATCCTTTAGACAGTACTGTCCCACTATTGAGAAATAGGTAGCACCGTCGTTGGAGTTATTCGGGTCAATTCGATTATCAGGACAATGTGTGGTCACCAAAGCAATAGTAGGACGCCTTAGCGGTAACCCTAATGTCCTAGATCCTTTTTATCCGAGGCAACCGTTTCGAGGCAACTGGATCTTTAGACAGGAGGACGACCTCTAAAACACCCTATACTTGACGACCACCTTGAGGCAACCAGTGAGGCATACCCTAGGAGTGGCATGTGCATGTGTGTCAGGTTTCATGTTATTTTATCTTGTACATGTTATTTGTGAGCTACGGATTGGTTTTATTTGTCATACAAGTCTTGCAGGCATAATTAACAGTTAATGTTTGTGCGGGAAATAAAGTGCGGAAAGGTAAATCTACGCTATTACAAGGCGCGGGTCTATACATCGCCAAAAACATAACCCGTTTGAAAATAAATGCGAGAAAATAAAAGAAAATGATAAAAGTCCTAATTAACTATTACATCCTCGGAAACAGTTACATCAATATAATCAAAAGGAATTAAAGCGCGAAAGAAATTAAATCGGGAACATCTTAGGGTTTTGACCCTTTTTGAGAAAAGAAAGTAATTTGTCCTTTTTTGCAATTAATTAAATATTAAACCTAAACCTAATTAATTAAATAATTAAAAGAAAAAGGTATTTTTTGTGTTTTTTATGTTTTAATGAAATAAAAATAAAAAGAATTAAAATTATCAAAAGAAAAACCCTAATTCTAAATTGGTTTTATTTATTGTAAAAAAGATTAAAATTGTCCTAATTAAACAACTAAATTAATTAATTTACATTTATTTACAAAATAATAATTAATAGTGAAATTTATAAAAAAATAAATAACATTTTAAGTTTCTGAATTTATTGTGAAAATAATTAATTAAGCCAATTAAGTAATAATAATAATTAATAAAACAAATTATAAGGAAAAGAAAAATAAAAATAAATAATAAAACCAGGGGGGGTGGATATCCCAATAAGGAGGTGAGTTTGGGAAATTGCTGGCCCATTAACATCAAGCCTTCGTTGACTTTATGGATCAAGTGCCTGTTGATTGACTAAGTGCATGGTGTTCTCCACTTTTTTGACCACTGGATTGGTGATAGTGGCCACATGGCATGCTGATTATTGAAGGTACATGATGGACGCTTTGAGGATGCCTGCACAGGAGCATGTTAGAAAAAATATGAACAAGCGTTTGGGGGACCTGGGAATCGAACCCAGGTCCCAATGGTTACATGCTAATGCCTTGGCCATCTGAGCTGTGTAGCGCGTTTGTATTTAGAATAAAGAGTAAATATTATATTAAGAAAATAAATACTATGCTGGACCCAACAAAAATACGCGCGCCATTTGAATGGACTAATCACACGCTAACACGTATCGTCTTCTTCCTTATGCCTGCAACAAAACAAAACAAATAGCGGGGGTTTTTAACCCCCACAACCTGCAAGCACGATTAATAGCGATTAGGTCCCTGATGCATATAAATTGTTCGCGAGGGTTGGGTTTGATTCGTCTGGCCTTGACGAATTCAACCATAGGTCTTTCAAGGTCTGATTTTTCTTGTGCAGCAAAGCCCTAAATTTGAAACTTGGAAACCCTAAAATCCATTAATGGTGATTTCTGTTTCAGTACACCAAAATGCAATTCACCTATACCGTTAGCTTTAGAAAGGTGTTAGCAATGCAAAGCAATGATTATAACATGTTAATGATGCATAAAATGTGAGTTTCGATTCTGAAAAAGTTAAGCAAACCGTATCACTGTTCTTGCGCGTTTCTTGAGCTTTAAGGCTTGATTTTGATTGTAAATCGTTTCTCACACCTCCAGCAATGTATTGGAATCAAGAAAAGGCTTTGAATTGTGTTGGAACTTGGAAAACAGATTTCAAGTTTTCTTTGATTTTTTTGAATATGGTTCTGGCTTTTGACAGCAATTCCCACGTGTGCATGATCAGGTTTAGGTTCAGTACTTATAATGGAATGGATTTAGGTTAAATCTTTGACCAAAGATCCATGGAATTATGGTTTGTATATTTGATTTTCAATCAAATATTTTTCAATCTTTTTGATTGAAAAACCTTGCCAAATTGGAATATTTTTGTCTCTTTGTTTGGTACACGAAATCTCCAGCATATATTGACCACTTTTGCTTCACAAAAAGATTGAGAAATCATATCTTTGAATTTCCTACATTTTAAATCAATTAAATGAATTAATATTAATAAAAAATCCAATTAATTAATAGAAAATAAGAAAATAAATTCAAATAATCCCAATGGGTCGTGCATAGGCCTTGGATAAGGTTTCAAGAAGAAATTTGAGGCCCATTAGCAAAAACATGGTGTTTTGAGCAAAGTTGACTTTTGCAAATTCACAAAAATTTCCCAACTTCTCCAATGCATATCTTGCTCAATTTTGATCCTATGAACAAGTTCTTGGACATTTTGGAAAGGTCTTGAAGTCCTCTAACCAATGCCTTTTGTCCCATGTCATTTGGATTTACCAATATCAAGTTATGGTCTTTGACATAAAGTGCATTTTTGATGACTTTTGAAATTGACCTATAATGTAGAAATTGATAACTTTTTGTGAGAGCATTTATTGGACTTGGAATGTGAAGATGAGTTGTAGGAAATGTCATACCCTTCAAAATGAGCATTGGATGGGATTTTTCTGATGAACCATGAAAATGTTATGCCTTGGTCAAGATACAGTTGACTTTTCATGCTGTCTAAAAATAGTAACTTTTGGCATCTTGATGATTTTTGAGCCATGCCTGTGGAATCATGATCAAGGCTTGATCAAATGATGATTGTGTACTCAAAAAAAGATGTTGACCAAAAATTCTGACTTTTGACTGCCAAATGACCATTTTACCCCTGTAGTTGACTGTAAAGCAAATGGAGCTTTTGACTGTGCAAACTGGCATTGTGAGTCTTGAAACTTGACATATAGATGATTGAGAATATGTATAGGCCTATGGGACTTGATTGGACCATTGAAAACCCCAAATTCATTGAAGGAACCAAAACCCTAATTTTGACTGGCTTAGGAGGCATTTGGACTGTGCAATTCTTGAGAAGTCTTGAACCATTTGAAGATGATTCTTGACAAACTTTGAAGAATATGGGAGGGAAAATTTTGGGGTACAACACTATCCTATAGGTAACATGCAATGAGAGCGAAGTAATGATCTCAATTTCTAAATTGAGTGACTCATCGATCAACAAGAAATAAAGGAAAGCGATAAAGTCTTAAAGGGAGTATGCACTGAGAGCGAAGTCGTGATCTCAATTCCTAAATTGAGTGACTCGTCAATCAACAAGAAATAAAGGAAAGCGATAAATTCCTATAGGGAGCATGCACTGAGAGCGAAGTCGTGATCTCAATTCCTAAATTTAGTGACTCATCGATCAACAACCACATAAACAAACACAAGCACAACACGTATAGCAAATGAAGTGCGGAATGCCTGCTACAGGTCTTTAAACAGCGACTTCGAGCGCACGCTCTTTATTTCCTATTTCTCATGATATCTAGAAAAGTGGTAAATGAATATAGTAAAGTGTGAAGAAATACGAAGGTAGTAGTGGCGACTACCAAAAGCGAGCGAATCGTCAAGAGCAGACATAAGCAATGGAGAAGCAGGGAGTACACATCGAGCAAGCTTCACCAAGAAACAAACAAAGTCAGAAACAATATCCAACTAAGATAAAGGCAAACGCATATTGTGAATGCAACGCGTAGTTAGAAGTTCCTGTGTAAAGTATCACAAAATAGTATGTGTCAGGACAACATATAATAGGACATGAATCTCTCTAGACGATGAGAAATAAGGCGTATCGCATCGTAACCGAGCATAAGCCGTATACTTCGATCACATAACTACCTGTTACATTACATGATCGAAAGCACAAAAATGTACCTTGCACAATGAACAAACGCGTCAACAATAACATGGCGAAGCGACATGCAAATATGGATAAAACTAAAAAAGAGAAAAAAGTATTTTTTATTTATTAGTTTTTTAGAAACCAAAAAGAAAAGTATTTTTATTTATTAGTTAGTTTTTTTTATGTAAGGGAAACTCCAAAAAACTACAGAACTAATTCTTAGAAACCTTTATTATATTCTACTAATTTTTTATTTGATTGCCTTTATCATATTTTTTACAAAAAGAAAACCAACCCTAAGAATGCAAATAAAAGGGTCAGGGGGTGCAAGGCTGCAATCATGGATCATGATCAGCAACAAAAGCTTGGCGCTAAAGTCCATTAGACATAAGGTCCAGAATAGCCTTTTCTGGTATTAGCTTCTGCACATAAAAAAACACATTTGTGCTTGATCTATTGGTACTATTCAATCCAATCCATATCACAAAAAAACAATTATTCTAGATTTATTTAATGAATAAAATAAAAATGAAAAAATTAAGTTGGATGTTAGAAAGGAGGAAAACACTATCGTTTGGATACAAGGAGGTTAGGGTTGAGTTTGTGTCTCTTGACCTTCCTAACAGAAATCTCTTCTTCCTCTCCTACTTACAATTTCCGGCGATATCACTACCGTCATCACCACGATCCCAAATAACCATCTCTAACCTCATCTCATCTCATCTCTGCCTTCTAAGTCCAATCAACTTCGTAATTTCTCTTGATTCTAACCAAACATATCGAATTTGAGATTGAAACAAAACCCTTAAAACTGAAAACCATCAATTCACGACCATGTGACTTAGATTTCCGCAATTGGCATAGGGTTACGATTCTGTGTTCTCTGAACCATGCTATGGCATCAAGAAAGAATGGAAAAATACAATGAAGAATCAGAGAAGACGAGCGTACTTACCTACGAAGCTCTTGGAGGTACGAGTATCGAAGGCCAGATGGGAGATGTCGATAGTGATTACAGGTATAAATTCTTTCTGCTTATCTTCTCCTTCTCCAATCTACTTTCTTTTGTGTATGATCTGAAACTTCCTCTACTTCTTCTGAGTTACCGATGGAGTGTTATCGTTGCAAGTTTAATGTTGAAGTCTGTGTTGCAGAAAATGATGATGATGTGTGAATACGATATGGTGCAATTTATTATGGAAGTGATGAATCGGATGAAGACCGAAGTTGTTATATGAAGATGATTGAAGAATTACAGAAGTGTACGATTTCAGGTTTGAGGTTGATGAGGTTACAGAGATGAAAAGGCGTTGAAGATTGTCCGAGAAGATGAAGATTATTAAAGTTCTGAGATCGTGAATCAAGAGAGTGCAGAGAGAAGATGAGAGTTTTCTTCTGTGATTTTTTCTGAATGATTGAAGAATGGTGAAGATGATGAAGGATTATGAGAAATGAAGAGTGAAGAGAGAGTTCTGTACTGGTGAATCTTCAGAGAACTCCCCCCCCAAATGAAATCAATCTGGTGAGTTCTGTTATATAATTCTGTTAGAAGTTTGTTACAGAAGTGAGTTAGGGCCTGAATTGATCTAAACCCTTGATGTGAATGTTAGTTAGGAATTTTGATGGATGAGATTGGAGGTGGTAGTTAGTTATGTTGAATTCTGTTTTTGAGAGTGAGTTGGTTAGAGAAATTTGTTTAGAAGTTCATTGCTGCTAACTGTTAGTTAGAAACAGTTCTACGAGTTAGTTAATAGATGAAAAGAAAATTGCTTTGGTTAGAATTCTGTTTTGGAAATTCTGTTAGCATGATGGGGGTTAGTGAGACAGTTTGCAGAAAAAAAATAGTTGAAACTTGTTTTGGATTTTTGTTACAGTTGGTTTTGAATCAGTTAGAAGTTGGTTGGGAATAGGTTAGTTAGAAGTTAGTTGGGCTGCAAGGAAAAGGGTTTTAGTTCTGTTATGTCAGTTGGTATGGTTAGAAGTTGGTTAAAAGAAGTTTTGTTGAATTGTTAGTTCTGTTAGGATAGAAACTGTTAGTTAGTAGCTGTTAGTTTCTAATTCTATTAGAGCGGTTAGTTTCTAATTCTACTAGAACTACTAGAAAATCAGTTGGTTATGTTAAATGGCTAGAAAATCAGGAAAAGTTAGAATTCTGTTGATTTAATTTTATTTCTGATTTTCTGATATACTGACAGTTAGCCACTAACTCTTGATTTTCTGCTATTTTCCATTGTTTTTTCGATTTTTCTGTTAGTGAATGCAGTAGTATGATAATGCAATGACCTTGAATGCGGACTTAATTAATTCCTCCTTTCTTTATTTTTTGTACAAGGTCAGCCATATGGGTGCATGAAGTGCAAGGCAGGACTAAGGTGATGGCGAAGCATGGATAGACTTTTTTTGGTCATATTTTAGGACTGCCTGGACGAGTCGTGAACTGATTTGGAGATGTTTTGGTGCATGTTTTAGCAATGAAGCATGAAGAATTTGAAGTCTTGTAAAAGCTAGCATGGTGGAGGCTTGAAATCGACACATGATACATGAAGTATGTTGATTGGATTGAAGGTTATCAAAGGAATTGGCAAAGAAGCATGAAGAATAGTTGGAAGATGAAGATAGTATCTAAGGTTCAGAATTTAGGAACTTTGGTTCAAATGTATTTTGTATGAATTGGTTAAAGTAACAATGATGTATCTAGACCAATCTCATAATGGAAATATGGTTTTTTAATGGTAGATTTGAAATGTATTTGAAGCAGAGTGAATGAAATGCACTTGAATAGATTCATATGTCTTTTGAGTGGGATTTGAAGAACTTTAATTAGAACCTTAAATGATGCTTGATTATTTGAATGGACTCGAATCAATACTCAAATGATGAATTCCATGATGTTTGAATCAAGATGATTTTCAAATAATGAACATTGGATGATGAATGATCCTTATCTATCACTCGAACTCCAAACAATCCACACACTCACTCCTCAAGGAAAGTTGATCCAATTTAACAAACTATAACCAAAGTAACCATTTAAATGAATTTTGAATGGATTTTTCCTTCCCCTTAGCATTTAAATTCCAAGTTTTCCTTGATTTATCATATAAAATGAACCATGATACAAGATGAATGAATTAAACTTCTGTTGCATATTTGAATAAAACTCCTGAATCAAATTATGAATGAACCTTGAATCTCCTTGCATGGATCCTTCAATAAGCAGTCTACTTCTATCCAAATCCACTTGTATTGCAGACAACAAATGACAATGATAAGAACAATAATTGCCTTGATTAATAAGGAGTCCACAAATTCATATCCTAGGCCATGAATTACGCTTCACAATTTGATCCTCCGCCCTTAGAGACTGGTTATCTCAACTCGAAATTAACGTCATGAGGAAAATTTTTACAGATAGATGATAGGGTTTAGATTACTGAAGAATTCCCTTGAACCGAAATCCTAGTCTCAAAAAAATGAAAATCTCCGCACTTGCCGAGACTGGGTAAAAACAATTATATCGTGAAGAGAAAGAAATCTTGTTAACCACACCTCACAATCTTGATTCCTCAGTTAGATGCACAAAGAAATATCCGGATGAAACATCTTTGAACCATGATTCAACAAAACCTAAATTGATTAACTGAAGAGTGGATGAATGCCATGTCATAGTCATTAATCCTGATCAAATGATAAGCATACTTATATGAGGAAATGTCTTGATTTAAAGGCTATGCATGCTAGGTCACACCCTTAAGTTCTTGCCAAGAAAAACCTGCAACCTCAGTCAGTTGTAAAAACCCTAGCTTGCACGCCCACTGAACTCTTGTACCTCAGGCGCTTATTGAATGCAATGTTAGGTTAATGACCTAAAGGAATATATGCGGATGAATGAAAAAAGTCTAAGCCAAAATAAAGGAAATTAGGAGGGAAAATTTTGGGGTGCAACAGTATGGTTTTCTTTGATTCGACATGTTTCCTTCGATCTGGTTTCCTCTACCATTTGATTTGTTGTAGCCACCTCTACCTCTGTCGAAACACTTTCCTTTGCCTTTGGTCTCTTTTGCTGAATGTGCCTGCAGGGCCACATCACTCTTTGATTTGCCTGCAGCTCTTTCGTTCATTCTTTGTTCATGAGATTCAAGCGTCCCTTGAAGCTCTTCCTTTGTCAATTTCGACAAGTCTTTCCCCTCTTCTATCGCCACCACTATGTGGTTGAACTTAGGAGCTAAAGATCTCAAGATATTCGAAACAACAACTCTTGTTGTTAACGCTTCTCCATATATCTTGATTTGATTTACTAGTTTTATAACTCTAGTGAAGAAATCAGATATGCTTTCACTGTCTTCCATCTGAAGCAGTTTATACATCCTTTTGTGAGTTTGTAACCTCACTTCTTTCACCTTCTCAACGCCTCCAAAAGACTTCTCAAGAATTTCCCAAGCTTCTTTTGCAGATTATGAATCACTAACCTTTTAGAAATTGTCTGGGCTGACACATTGATGAATTATAAATAATGCTTTATAACTCAGCTTCTCAGATTCTGTGTATTTCTTCTTTTCTTCTTCTGAAGCGTTTTCTCCAAGCACTTCGACTCCATCTTTTACAAGGTTCCAAAGACCTTGACACCTGAATAAGACTTTCATCTGTTTGCACCAATTCTCATAGTTGTCAACTTTTAGAATTGGTAGCGTTGTTGGATAGTTTGCATTCCCATAACTTGTCATCTTGAATTCTTCAATCGTTCTTGATTGATACTTCCCTTGAATCAAAATAAAATCTCTTGATACCAGATATTGGAAACTCACCAAAGTCTATGATGAATTTCTACCACAATGACAATTTAATTATGAGACAAACAATGAAAAGAAGACAAGACAAATAATTTCTGCAGAGTTTCTCTCTGCCCACAAACTGTGAAAACTTTGTTATTCACTTGCAACTGCAAATTCTGTGAATACAACTTGCTTAACTTGCTTACAAAAATAGGGGTTACTCCCTCTATTTATAACTGAGCTTACACCCTAAGCCCAAAGTCCAAAATATCTATTTTGTTACTAAATCAAATCTAATCTATTCTAGACTTAAATCAAATCTATTTAAATCTAAAACAAATCAAATCTTTTCGACACATAGTTTCGACACACTGAATTACAATTTAACAAAATCTATATTACTTAAAATTGGCTCGAAGTATGGTCTTAGACTGATACCTTGTCCAAGACGACAAACATTCCCACCATGCTTATTTGCTATAATGACTTCTACTGACATAACACGACATTCATGTGAAAGAAATGGACCTTTTCTGATCTTTTTCAACCAACAAGTCATACAACACAAGTTTATCATTTATTATGTTGTCTTTGTTTTATTTTTTCATTTATCATTATCTCCTCAAGTTTATCATATTCTCAACAAGACAATCTATGTGGATATAGATTTTTAGCTATATTTCTCTTTTGCTTTTGAATCTTAGATTGTTATAAACATAATGGAAATTGTTGGTGTAAGCCCCAAAGGCCAATAACTTTATTAGAAATTGTCACTTGTATCAAATTATCTAATAATAATACATTTTTGTTTATTATGTGTTTTTCTAAAGTAATAAAGTTCCTAGATAACTAATATGTTTGATGAAGCATTAATTGCGATTTAGTTGTGAAACCCCATTAAATGTAAGAGTATTATTCTTAAAGAATTTGTAGTCAAGCTTTATTCTGAAATGAGATAACATTAAAGTATTGAAACTATTATGTGGATAGACCAACTATCACATCTCACAGATTATGGATAAAGAGTTATCAAGTCTTCACATATGTATAAATATTAGGAGTAATATTTATATTGGATTGACCTACCATGAGAAAACTACGTAAAATATTATGCAAGTGTCATAAGTTATTTTCAAGGTGATAGTGGGGGTATATCACCATTCAACCTGAAATCACTATGGACTCTAGATGTGGAGATAAATACTTTATTTTCGATTAAATATTATTTGTAATATGATTATCATAAAGATGGTTGATGGGTACTCCAGAAATCATGACGATGAACATGAGTGATCTAGATGAAATTTGTCCATCATGCATAACAAAATAAGTATTACAAAAAGAACGAAGCAGAATGAAACAAAGCGGAGTGGAATGGAGCAAATAAAAGAAAAATAAAATAAAGATGTCATTCTATTGTTTGAATATTTCTCTATAAAATAGACCAATTTTGTCATTGTCCAAATAGGATGATGGACGGTAAAAAAAAACGACAGAAAGTGATAAAATGAGATGAAATGCATTCTATTAGATTTCACTCAATTCCATTTTTTAATTGATATGAGTAATAAAAAACGAGTTTATACTATTTCATTTTATCTCATTTTATTCCATTCTATCAATCCAAAGATATCCTAATTTCTATTTTTAAAATTATTTTTTGCCACACCCCCATATGGAAAAGGGACACCCTATACAATTCCGAAACTACCCCTCGGAAAACCGGAAATGTAATTCTGTTTCGCACCATATTTTGCACAAAACAGGTCAAATGTGGTTTCACCCTTCAAAATGCAAAAAACGGTACCTGAGGTATACTTCCGGTTCTAAATTGGAATTTTGTTTCTGATTCTATTAGCGGAAAGAGTGAATTTTGTTGCTACCTTGACATTTCATATATAACTGGAAGTATAATTCAGATTTTATGGACGATGCATGTTACTTAAAATAGTAGCCAGTATGGTCATGTTTGATCACCACCATTTCTTCTTTCTTTCCTTAAAACCTCTAAAAAACCCTCATCATTCTCAATCCATTTTCCACTCCAAATCATCATTTTTGTGGTTCATTATATCAGAAAAAGCTCAAGGAAGTAGAATTTCAGGTAAAATTTACTCATTCCAACTCTCATTCCCTACAATAATTTGTTCTTTATTGTAGAAAAGATTACGTACAAATCGGATGTATACTTCCGGTTGTTAGTTGAACAGAACCAAAAGTTAATTTCTGGTTTCTGTTTGTGTTTATTTTGACAGCAATCTGTCAATGTGACATGTTAATAAGTTGTGTTTTATCTAACATTAGGTATGGTGCATCCCGATACCAGTCCCAAACTTGATGTGTCTCAAGTTGTTTTGCCTCTCGTAGTTTCTCCTCTCGTAATTAAGGTGGTAGATGTTCGTGAGCAATTTGAAAATGTAGAAGAATTTGAATTACGTGAAGACATGTTGCAGTGGATTCGTATAGAGGCTACAAAACTAGGATTTTGTGTTGTGATTGGAAGGTCTGATAATCACAAGGTAGTGAAGATCGAGTATCACTCGCCATCGGTTGACAAAGATGGGAAGCTTGAGTTCATCAACCGTGAGCTGAAGAACGACGCTGATTTACAGGCTATGTGGAATACTTTTGACAGTTTTGAGAAGAAAGTTCTGATCGAGCTAGATGCGACTATAACAAGATCGGTCAATGATATTATCATGATGTTGTAATGTCCACCTGAACGTTGATTTGTAATGTTTGATTTATATTTAACTCCTAAATATATTTGCTATGTTTATGTTATGAATTATATTGTGAGATTATGATGCAATTTAATAATATTTTCTAATTTTTGTAAAAAATAAAACCGAAAATACACATCCGATTTCAAATAGGAATTAAATTTTTGATTTCTATGTATACTTTATCAGATCTAGGCACACGTGCGCACCAAAAATATACTTATAATTTTGAGAGATATTTATGAAATTTCACAGTGGTGCGTAAAAATGTCACCGAGTGGGTTAAGAATATCACAATTTTAAAAACTTACGCACAATCAAAAACTCATCTCGACTAACTCATTCGAGTCATGTTTTAACTCGACGTATTACAAGTACTATATAGTTCATTGTGTTTGCTTTGTTCCTTCACGTCTTGCAAATTCATCTCATTCTATAAAAACCAGGTTATCTTTCTCTCCTTTATTCCCTTTCTCCTTTTACGTTTATGTCTTTTTCTTGCATATAATCAAACATTTATTTATTTTGTTTTGCTATTATCATGTATACTCGTTCCTTTCAAAACTATAGCATTTAACAATTCTATCACTTGCTCCTCCAAGGTTAACAAGCAAATATCCATTCACCTTTTTTTCTCTCTTATCAACAACCAACCCTTAACTTTGTTCAACATGCTTCTGTTATGTGATGTGTATGTTCAATCTTAATCTCCTGTTGTTCATCCATCAATGTGATTTTTGTTATATCTTCGTGTTATTGATAATGAACATGCATATAAGGGGTTTTGATTGTGATCAAAATTATTCATCTTTATTTTACACCGGGTTTTTATTTTCCATGTTTTCCCTTGGTCATTGTATTGTGTATTTATTTATGTTAAGCTGTGTCAAAAATACTGTCTTTAGGAAAAAAAGTTGACAATTTTTTGATTTAGGTATCCATGTTGAAGTGAGGATTTTCATGTTCTTGGTCGTATTGGCAATTTTTGTAGTCTTAACTTTGTTCTATTTTTGGTTACCTGAAAATCACAAAACAAAGTATCTGTTTGTTAGGGATAGTTTAATTCTAATAGTTTTGAAATCTGAATTCCTTCAATAACTATGACGCTTTGAAAAACCAGTGAGTGGCCTTGTAAATATGAATGGGTAGTGAGTAATACTTTATACTACATTTATGCCTAGTTACAACTCAAGGGTGAAGTATGCTTTTTGATAATGTTATCCAATCTACATTCCTTCTTAAGCCTTGATTTGAGTTTATAGTTATCAGGTTTTGTTTTCTTATATTTCTTCGCAGATGGTGTCCGTTAGGGAGAATGGTGATGATATTTTCCCCGAGCATGCGTCTAGTGAAGGCCGTGATGTGAGTCCTAGAATAGGTCACGAATACCAGGCGGAAATTCCTTCAGTGCTTAAGAAATCAGAGCAGCATTCATTTCAAATGAATCCTGCAGATTCTGAAGCAGTGCATGAACACGAGGAGTTGGGATGTCATGAAGATAGTGATTCAGGTCAATTAAGCAAAACTGAAAATCAAAGGCTGGCCTTTGGCAGATCGAGTAGCACCTGGAGTGATGCTGATACAAAAAGTTTTATAGTTGGCTTGTTTATTTTCGGGAAGAACTTTATTCAGATAGAAAGATTCTTGGAGAACAAAGGAATGGGGGACATACTTTCTTTTTACTATGGAATGTTTTACAAAACAGATGGATATCATAGATGGTCAGAGTGCAGGAAGTTAAAAGGAAGAAAATGTATGATTGGAAAGAAACTTTTTACTGGGCTGAGGCAACATGAACTATTGTCTCGCTTGAATCCCCATGTCTCTGAAGAGTCTCAAGATACTATGTTACAGGTATTCAACTGTGTTTTCTCCTTTCCATCTCCTCTTATCTATTGTTAATGAACTGCATATTGATTGACTTAGCCTGTATGCCTGCCAGCATTTTATGATTTATAACTGTCTTACTCTCTCCTGTCCCTTTTCTGATATAGTCTCACTCCTCACTCTTTCGCTAGTTGTCATATTGATAACTTCCCTTTAGTTTTAACTTCCTTCTTGGAGCGTTGTGATATTTCATGACAATGATAATTTTGTTTAATGATTCTGCTCATATTTTATGGATTTATTAACCATGTAGAAGAATAGAAGCCATTAGGAATAAGTGACTCCATATCTTTTGGAAATACCTTTTATTTATGAGCTTCAAACGATGCTTAGATTGTTTCTCGTAGTCTATTTGATGTTACAAAGTGAAAGCTTCACTAGTTTATGGAACATCTTATATTTTTAATATTACATGCTCTTTGCATTTGATACAATGTTACTTATGATGGAATAACCGAGTGAATTTCAGTCCTCACTTTGCATATATTTATTATACCCAGGTTTCTAAATTGTATGCGGAGGGAAGAACTTCTCTAGAAGAATACATATCTTTTTTGAAGTCGGTTGTTGGACTTGGCGTTCTTGTGGAAGCAGTAGGTATTGGTAAGGAGAAGGGAGACCTGACTAGGTTTGGTCTGGAACCTCCGAAGAATCACGCGCTTCCAGTGCAAACTTGCAAAGATTTGTCTTCTCTTGGTCCGAGTGATATAATACAATATTTGACAGGAGGATTCAGGCTGAGCAAATCCAAAAGTAATGATATTTTCTGGGAAGCTGTTTGGCCCCGCTTATTGGCAAGAGGTTGGCACTCCGAGCAACCAAAGAATGGAAGTTATCTTACCTCCAAAGATTATCTAGTTTTTCTTATTCCCGGCGTTGACAAGTTTTCAAGGAGGAAACTTGTGAAAGGTGATCATTACTTTGACTCTGTTAGTGATGTCTTGAGCAAAGTAGTAGCTGAACCGAATATTCTCGTGCTCGAAGAAGAAGAAAAAGCTATAGTTGGTAGCTACAATGAAGACAAGCTAGTAAAGGGATCAAATGAAGATGATTTATCTGACAATCATCGTCAATGTTACCTCAAGCCCCGATGCTCTACCTACAATAAAGATCATACCAAATTCATGGTTGTTGATGCCAGTTTGGTACATCAGGGAAAGCCATCCGATTTAAGAGAATTCAAATCTGTTTATTCAGCGCCTAGAATTGAGGTAGATGCTGCTGGTAAAAAATATAAAGGGCACAAATATATGAGGAAAGTGAAGCATAACAAGGATATGTCTGAAAGCATTAAACAAAATTTGACAAAGTTGACAGCTATTGATACCAATAGACTTTCTGATGGAAAACTATTGAAGCTGAAAGTTAAACTGAAATGTCCGCCAGTTGAATTAGAAAATGCTTCTACGATGACTAATGGTCTTGTGAGAGAAACTAACCAGGGGTCTTCAATTGATTATTCACCGAGAATGGCGGAAGATAAGATGCTGATATGTGGCAAAAGGAAAATCAATATAACTGATAGTCTCATGGGTGTATCTAATAGTAAAAAAGACCCATGTGATAATCCTGTTAATGGTGCAAACAAGATGTTCCAAAGCCCGAAAAATCAACACACTTGTGTGTTTGATGATGATCAACTTAAGAGGATCATAAAGCATGAATTCAACCGGAAAGTAAGATCAGGTGATTCTAATCATGCAGCTGTTCCTATTAAAAGGAGGAGATTGACTGCTTGTGTCAAGGCAGAGAAAAGCCACCCCATTGAAAATTTTTCAGGAGGTTTTGGATCAGAAAAAATAGGATTCTCTCAGTCTTCTAGCTTTCCAGATACAAACAAAAGTGTGTGTGAGCCATTTGGTCTTCAGCAGAACGGGATTTCAACTGCTGCTTCAGCTGACCGAAGTGTGGAAGAGAATACTGAGAAGAACATTCTCTACAAAAGTTATCAATGCAGGAGTGTTTCTTGTGTTAAAGTTGAGAAATGTAAATCTTTCACCTTCAACATGCCACAGGTTTCATCAAATTTTGAAAATAACAATACCATGGCGATGGCAGAGGAAGGTGAGCAAGACCTAAAGGCAATAGGTCCATGTCTAACATCTTCTACTCATAAAGTAGTTGAAAAGCCTCTTAGAACCCCTTGCGATGTTGATTCTTTGGAACAGCATCCTGATATAAATCCTAGGAGACAGAGCCGCAGAACCCGCCCATTGACAGTTAGAGCATTGGAATGTATAGCAAATGAATTCTTGCATGTGCAAAAGAGACAGAAAAAGAAAAACAGCCAGACACACTAAGATCCTTTCAATCCTTGTCGCAAGGCTCGTACAAGAGGCAAAACAATAATGCGTCGTCATTGCTGAGATAATGGAAATGCAGTTTTAGTACAAGAGGAAATGCATTTGAAAGAAGATGGCAGTGTTAGCTAAATATTGCACAGATGTTTAAAGATTTCTTTAGATGAAATATAGATATAGATAGATTATTATATGGATACGGATTCTTCAATAAAAAAACTCAAAGCAACTTTATTAAATTTGAATCAGATATTGAGTCAACTATATGGTGCAAGATTAGTGAATCATTAGTTGAGTCGCATGATCTAACTTCCACGATGAGACGTATTGCGAACATCACAAGCTATATTTTTATGAGAGAAAAAAAAGAATATGCATTGAATGTTATAATTCTATTGAATGATAATGTAAAACTAATTTATCCCGATAGTGCACTACCTTTAATCACTTTTTACGAACACAAAAACCTTAATAAAAATAAATGGTTATGGTTTGAGATAAATGAATAAGTTAACTAATACATAAATGTGAATGAATAATAAATGAATAACTTAACTAAGGCACAATGTGAATGAAAGATACAAATAGATGAACAGAAATACAATCCAAGTTTTTGTAAGTTTTGAATAAAATCGAAGATGCAAATGCTATATTCCAATATTTGAGTTTCAAAATAAAAAAATGAAAGAGAAATGATTCTTTCCATTCTTCGATGTGCTCCCACACCACCGTGAAAAGTTTATATTGTCCCTAGTATCCAGAAATGTATTTCTAGACGCATCTATTTTCACCATTCTCATACCAAATTGAAGATACGCCTTTATTATGTAAAAAATGAATTCAAAAATGCATCTCTGTATGTGTAAAAAGTGTGTCCGAAGATGCATCTTCGTAAACACCATTTACTCAAAAGTAATTTGGTGGTCTGGAGATGCTATTGGTTCATATTTTGTGTGAGACTCTTCCCTCTTTCTCCTTCACTTTCTCAAAAGTACTCAAAAAAAGTCATTTGAGCTCTGCAACGATTTTAGCTCTACATCCATTCAATCAAGCTTATATATTTAGATCTCTTTCCAGTATCTTGTAACATCTAATCTACTCATTCTCATCAATCAATTTCTTTTGGTAAGTTTTTCAAATTTTCATTTCTTTTTATGTTTTGAGTTTTAGTTAGTTTTTTAGGATACATTAGTTGTTTAAAGTACATTAGGTGGTAGTGTAAACCAAATTGATAGTTTATTAGAACTTGCAATGAGGATTTTTGGGTTTGTTAGGGTAGAAAATGAGTCTGCCATGGATGCTAAAAATCACTGGTTTGTCTGAAGATGCATCTCTAGATTTGCTCTAAACTGTTTTCGGAGATTCATCACCGGATTGGGCCGAGTTAAAAAATTGAGACATTTAGTGGACATGCCGTTTAAATATGTTTTTGTTTATAACAAAAATTTAACTTGACACCCTCGTATTATACCTGACACCCCTCCATTTTTTCATTCCCAAAATAGCCCTATTACTATTTATTTCTAAAATTTTTATATTTTTAAACTTTTTTTTATTATTGGTCAAGGGGGTGGAAAACCAAATTTCCCGTAGGTTAACAAAATTTTTGGTACAGAAATTGCGCTTTTACCGGAATTTTTTTGCATTTCCAAAATTTTCGGTAGCCATATACCGAAAATTTCAAAATTTCTGGGGAGATTTGCAGGAAAGTTGTAACATCTTCCGGAAATTTTTAGAATTTCCAATACGAAACATAAAACCGAAAATTTCAAATTTCCGGTATACCCGAAATTTCGTAAAAGCCTCAAATTTTCGGTATACCAGAAATTTCGTAGAACCTCAAATTTCTAGTATGTCTGCAGATGAAATTTTGTATCAGTGTGGTCCAGAGCCGACAACTTCTACAGATTCATGTGCAGATTATACGCAGTTCTTCATCACAAATACCGTATATTTCCTATTGAATTAATACATTTTTATTTGTTTTCCGACATTCATGAAATTGATAAAGTATAATAATTATATATTGTAATTGACAGATTTTTAAATTTTGATCTAAAGTTTTAGAATGGGCACAGTCTATTGGTAAAAAATATGGTATTATTGTTGTTATTGTTCGTTCTGATTCTACTAATGGAATGTGAGAGAGTAAGTATAAATTAATTAAGGATCGTGAGATATGAGGAAATTAAAAAAGAAAAAAATACGTTGAAAACACTAATTCCTCTAATGGCATTTATACTATGAAGGTTAAATGTCTGTTTAGGCTGAGATATATTTCAAGTGGTATAGGTTGGAAGATGATGGTCCAATGTGGGATGCACAACCATAGACTAGACAAGGATTTGGAAGGTCATGACATATTGGGACGTCTAAGAGATCATGAAAGAAAGTTTGTGAATGATATGAAGAAGTACAATATGGCTCCAATGTACATAATTTCTGCTTTGAAAGACAAAGATTCAGAAAACCTCACGAGTAGTACCCAGGTATATAAAGCTAGAGCAACATACATATTGTGCAAGAAAGGTGCAATGAGAGAAATGCAAATGTTATTGAGCTTTATTCACATAGAGAAACACATGTGTTGGATTAGAAATAGGGAGACCTCAGATATTGTAGCTGATATATTATAGACACATCCTGATTCTGTGAATTTGTTGAATATGTTTCATCTGATGTTAATTTTTTATTGCACGTACAAGACAAATAGGTAAGAACTTTACTTTTGGCATCCTAAAATATGTTTTAGATGTTGAGTGAGCTAGTTGGTTATGTGTATTTTAATCATGTAGGTGCCGGTTACCACTGCTTGAGATTGTTGGTGTTACTTCAACTAAGTTTACGTTTTCAATTTTCTTTGCCTATTTGGAACATGAAAAGGAGGAGAACTTTACATGGGCACCGGAGAACCTCAAAGAGTCGTTATGTTTAGAGAAATTGCTACTGAAGGTTGTGGTGACGAACCGAGAACTAGCATTAATGAATGCCATGTAATTTGTGTTTTTAAATGCAACTCATATGTGTTGGTGAAATTTCCAAAATATATTTAGAAAGTTACAATGGTTAAAAAAGACCTTTTAGAGAAAATGTGTAATGCTTTACAATTGAAGCAATGTAATCATTCATGAACAAAATCTTTCAAAGAGTTGTTAGGCATTGTAAAGATACGAAAATAGTATATTTCAAATGCCAAAAATCATATCAACATCATTCTTTTATTTTTCTAGTGCACGAGAATAAATGAGAGAACTTTATGCTGTAAAATATCGTTGATCGATATGCTTAATATGAATGTGTGATTCATGTTAAGGTTTCTAAAGTATTTTGAAGGGGATTCGCCGGTTAATCAATTTGCATCCAATTTGCCTAAATTGGTCGGGACAAATAGAACCTAAAACTTAGTGTAAACACACGCTTTGGAATTTATTTTGTGCAATGTTTTTCGTATCAATTTCATTTTCTTCTTATTCATATTTTATAGCAGACCCATCATAAGATCTAACTATCTTTAGGTTCGATTTTTGATTTTAATCTATACTTTATTTATAATTAATATTAAAATATACAACTTTAAAGAAGAATTTATATCATGAATTCAGTTGTGTTTTATTATTTTTCATAGAAATTAAAGCATTGTAAAAGTTATAATATCAAGATGAAAAATGGAATTTTGCTAAAAGTTAATATCAAACCTTGATTATTGATACTATAATTTTTCAATATTAATTGTTATATAAATTAATAATTAGAATTTTTTTTTATTAATAACCAATTATTAAAATAATATTTCGCAAATAATCGGGTTTCGGAAAAAATTACGCAAATAACCATGTTTCAGATGACTCCCCAAAGGAGGAGCCATCTGAAATGGCGCATGCACCTATATTTTAAGGGGAGGCGCCATCTCACTTGGCGCCTATGTGCTTAGGGCATGCCCTAAGCCAAGTGAGATGGCGCCTAGGTGTTAATTTAGGGCAAAATGTGATTTTTTTTTGTCCGGTGCGTTGCGTGTTCGATAGAGGATCAACAAAATGGACTTTTTATTAAAAAAATAATAATTACATCCAACTGTATTACATTAAAATAACAGATAAAAAAACAGAAGAAAAAAAAACGGATAAAAAAATACAGGAAAAAAAAACAGATAAATCAGTGATCCCCCGGAACCCGGTAATGACCCCCGGTTCCGCATCCCCGTCCTCGCCTTTCTCGTGCTGGGTGTCGTCGTGTTTCCTGCTGCGGCAAGGTCGATGGCCCAGCGAAGTCAATGCGGTCCGGATCTATAAAATCAGTCAGATCTCCATATCTAGAAGATCCGCTTTGGTACAGTCAGTTACCCATACCCTCAAAGTTTGGTCGTGTTGGCGGTGGGTGGGGTTCCATAGTGGGCCTGTAGCATTGATCGTCTGAGTACGGTGGGTAGAAAGGAAATGGATCTTGGGGTGTTTGGTATTGAGGATGTTGGGTGGTTTGGTGATATTATGGTTGATGGTAGGTTGGGTCGGTTTGTTCGTAATCTTCTGACATTCCCATATCAGGGCTAAGGCTGGATGTTGAGGGGCCCATATTGGGATATGCGGAAGACTGAAATTGTGTATGGGGTATGCGGGTGTGCTGGTATTGAGATTGGTATTGTGGTTGGGTGTGGGGCATATCGGGGTATTGGTAGTGTGGTAGTGATTGTGGTTGGTTGTGTGGCATTTGAGTGTAGTTGTGTTGTGGTGGGGACTGTGATTGGGTGTTTGTGGGTCTGTTTCTTCTTGGGGGTTGGTGGGAGGTTGATGGGTTTTGGGTTTGTTGATGTGGAAACGAGGGTTGTGCCCATTGTGTGCGTGGGTCAACCAAGTACCTTGGATGAGACACGTGCATCTCAGGGTTACTAATCGACCTGTACCAAGACAAATATTGATCTGTGTGTCGCATATTACCTTGATTAAGGAAAACCGGGAATTGCAAGACGTAGAGGTGAGCCTCTGCCACATCTTACACCATTCAGG